TTTTTTTTTTTTTTTTTTATTGTCTGACTCGATTTTCCGGTTCGGAAAAAAATTTGATAAAGTCAGCGCCGAGTTATTTTTAATGCATTGTTTAGAAGAACAACTTTCTATCTTATCTATGAGACAAAGTGAGAACCAACTGTCAATCAATAAAATAACTCGGCTTTTTTTTTACCACAACGATCGACGATAGTTTACCGCGATATATCGCGTTTCACAAAAACGCGCGCGTTTACCGTCGGCAAACCGCGCGGCGAACTTCCGCAGACTGCGACTCCGGAGGCGGAAAACTCTCTTTAAAAGGGTTTACCTGGCTTACACAATTGTTCCGATGGAAGCGTGAATCTTTTGTTTAACCAGGGAATAATAGTGCGCGGCGTGTTTCGCGTAATGCATAATATTATATTATTATATTCTCCATTGAGATATAAATAATGCAGTACTGAAATAGCACGGTTTTTGTATTCTTTATCAATATAAGTTATAAAAAGGCCGTTTAATATATTTTTCTTTTGTATTGTAATGATTTTTCGCTTAGAAATAAACGATAGCATTATGTAAACGTTACATAATTTTCATGATAACTATAAAATATTTTGTTGGTGTAAAATACAGAATAAGTAATTCTTATTATTAATTTAAGTAATTTTTCCGGAAAAATTGGATATCCACTGAATATACCTTCAATAGGATTATTGCTATAGAATTATTATTTATGCCAGCTACAATAGATGAGCTGCTTTGTTTTTTTTTACGATGTTAAAGAAACTTCGAATAATAATGTGATTTTTTTAAATTAAATAAAAATCTATTAATAGTTTTAACAAATTTAAATAAAATCACATTCCATTTTAAAACCATCGGCGTACAAATTGCTCAATTATTTCCTATTTAAACAAGATTGATTTGCGTAGTATGACAATTTATTAATCACGGTTAGCGTCGTTATAAACGAAATTTTTACTCAACTGGATCTGTATTAGCCTTCGTATTTGCATGATTATACTTAATGTGGTTTTAATGTTAGTTCGATAAATCTCAAAACTGGACGGTCGCATTTAGTATTAGCTTCGATACTAAACGGCGACATTAGCGCATCAAGTTTGTCGCATAGACCTCGGAATAGATATGTCGTAAATAAATATTAATAACATGCCAGGGCGTAAATACATCTCAATGTTTTTACGCCTCGGTAATAAGTGATTATATTGCCACTTGCGATAATAGTTACAACACAGAAGATTACATGAAGGAAAGTAGCAAGAAGCCGAGTAAAAATTACGGAAACAGATACGTCAACAAATATATCTTCGGCCAACGTGAATTATGTATGCGGATTGAAATTCAGTCAGTCATTCTTCATGATTTTAATTTAATTACAGTCGAAACAATTTGTTAGTCGGATAAATTATCATTCGTCATCGCACTTCTGAGTGATAGTGTCAGAAATGATTGACTCTTTTTACCATCATTAATATTTCACTATTATTAGTATTTTTATTGGAGATGCATCTGTATTGCAATTTGCATAAAAATACTACTAGGCCACATAACAAAAATGATAAAGATAAAGGGAAAGAAAAAAAAAACAAAAAGCGAATCCAGGACAAGCTTTGTAGTAACCACGGTAAAAAATCAAACGTAATTGAAGTATCGTTTTTTTACATAAAAAGATCTCTCAGGATATTGTTATGCATTTATCGTATAAACGTTATCGATAAGCACAGCTGTGATTAGATGGTTGCATTATCTATCCCAAGTGTGTTTGGATTACGTTTCGTGTATAACTGATAGATAGTCAATGTATGGACACTGCGTATATGAGTTTTACTTATTGGGCGCGCTTCAGAAAAACGAAATTCTAGATATTTCACGGATACGAACACACGCTGCTCAATGAATTCTTCATGAATGAGGAATATTATTTTATTTATTGATTATTTATAGTTGATTATTAATACAGCTATATTGATATTTATAGCTATATCGATTGTTTATACTGAAAATATGATGAAGTATATATTTACATTTTTACGAGTTCTAATTAATCACTTATTTATATATGTTTATTAATAATGTAAAGCGTGTGTTTACTTGCTCTACGCGGCTTCGTGATTTTTTTTTCTACAACACATAGATACGAAGGCCATGAAAAATGGGAAAAATGTGGTCCATAGGAAACCGGTTTTGTTGCTTTGAGGCAGCATTACGATGGAGGATTTAACAAACTTCTCAACGGGGGTACTTTTTAGCGAAATAACTGCATGGGAAATTGTCTCTTCGTTGCTTCAAGGTTTCCCAAACCGCAGTGCTGCGTAACAAATTTTTCAAAAAACTTGAGAATACGCATTAAAGCAGATTTTTACACAAAAAAAATCTGTTTTTAAAAAATCGAAAATTTCTTACGTTGTGCGTTACAAATTAAAAAAATGCATAAGATAAATAGCTCCACCGAAATTAATTTCATACCTCATTTTTATGGTTTCGTATAATACTCGAGAAAGCAGGATTAGTTTATTTGCAATTTAATCTTCGGCTTGAAACTTGCCATAAATTTTCTTAAGTTTTGCTACTATAAAATTATAGAATCGTGTGATGCCACTCAAAATCATTCAAATTTAAATATGTACAAATGATTTTAATTGCACCACTTTACGTGTAAATCTTTATTGTCTTATATCTCACTGCTGATTGAAGAACCTCAACAAGAATTAAAAGATCTCATTATATTTGCTGAGAATTCAATTCGACTTATCAAAAATACATTGACAAGCCCTTTAATATTTCCGCTACGTAGATATACATTACTGTTGCTCGTAATTCAATTTCCTGAAAAGACTCACTCAAAGTCGAAGATTTCGCCTGAACTGTATCAATCGTTCGCTGCCTGTCGGGCAAAGTGGCGTTTATTTGACTTTGACGACTATCATTTCGAATGTTGGTTACGTACGCCGGCCGCGCAGGACTCGCTGTCGAGGTGCGTGCGAACGATGTTCCGCCTACTTTGCCGGAGAAGAACGTTCGGAAGTTTCGTACGGCACGGAGTGAGTGGAGTTCGCGTAGTCCCTTCGCGAATCACGTACATTTGCCCGGCTCCACTCCTTAATGCGCGCCGCAGTCGGGAAGTGCACTTTCGCGGAATACGAGAACAGAAGTCGTCCACGACCGCTTCGTCGTCGATTAATGACGAATGCCTAACGAGCCGCGGAGCGCGAGGAACGTCAGAAAAGGATTACGGTGAACGATCTCTCCTGCGCAAACTACGGGAAAGAATAATTAAAATCTGTAGCACCGATGTTAATAATATTGATAATAACAAAAATAACGAGTGTTTCTTTTTTTTCAATTTTTTTAATCACTTTTTCCGCGCGCCATTCTATAACAACGCAACTCTTTCATTCACCTAACGATATTCAACGCGAATAGATCGATAGAATTTAATTTGAAATAATTGAAATACGATACATTTTCACGCAGATCGAAGA